CGGCAGTTCCACAATGGTCCATTGTTTGAAGAGTGAGTGGCAAAACCAAGAACAGTATGATGCCATTTTCGGTAACACTAAAACAAAACTACAGTTAGCTTGCTGAACATGTCCTAAATAGCCCCAGATCAATGAGGAAATCCAAACTGAAATGAAAACTGATCTAGAATGTAATAAAAAAGTATACGTTCCTGTAGACAGCCGAGAGATACGGTTAAAGCTGTGTGCAGAGGAAAATGTATAACCTTACAGGCCTTTATTGTTATTGGAGAAAGAGACAGACAAATAGACAGACTGAAGATTAGAGTGCACTTTTTTTTAATGATCTTTGAGGATCACTTTTAGTTTATACAGTTTTGTATTGCTTGAGGTATATATATTTTTTTGAAGATTTTATTTATTTGAGAGCGAGCGAGCACCCAAGAGCCAGGGGAGGGGAAGAGGGAGAGGGAGAAGCAGGCTCCCCCTGAGCAGGGAGCCCAATGTGGGGCTCCATCCCAGGACCCTGAGATCATGACCTGAGCCGAAGACTGACGCTTAACCAACTGAGCCACCCAGGCACCCCGAGGTGTATTATTTTTGTAACTAAAAGAATTCTTTGACATATTCTCATAAAGTTAACATCTATGGACCCTAGGACCGAGCAGTCCCACTCCTAGAGAAATGTACAATATAAGCTCACTGAAACACTTATACAGGAATGCTCACAGCAGCTTCATTCATAATCACCCCAACCTGGAAACACCCCAACGTCCATCAACAGGTGACTCCATACAATGGAATACTATTCAGCAATAAAAGGAATCACCTCGTGATAAACTCCACAGCATGGATGGATCTCAAAAACATCAAACAGAAAGAAGCCAGACACTAAAGAGTATCCACCAAACAAGTCCATTTATACGAAGTTCTAGGCTTGGCAAAACTAATTCAGGGTGACAAAAATCAGAAACTCCTCACCTCCGGGAGGGGAAGGGCATGAGACGACTAACTTTCTAGGGGAGCTGGAAATATTCTCTATCTTGATCTGAGTGGTAGTTACACAGGTGTATAAATTTGTCAAAATTCATCAAACTGTAACAGACTCTTTGCATTTCATGGCATGTAAATTAGATCTCAATTTAAATTAAAAAAAAAAAAAACACATGATTTTTTATACAGATTCCCAGGCTCCACCCCATGGGGATTGATTCAGTGTGTCCATGCTGGACCTGGGAATCTGAATTTGTAAAAGAGTAACTCAAGTCATTCTCTGCCTGATTATAGAGTTACCACTGACCAACCCCTGGCAGCTACACTCCCCTTCCCTTTTATTGTTTTGGGTGATTTGTTGTTTGTACATTGATTTTTACAAGAGAGTTGGGTGACTCACAGAGCTTTAGAAACAGCACAGCAGTTTCCATTCTTTCTGCCCTCTCTGGGCCACTCATAGCCCCTGCCCCTCAGCTCAGGTTTCCAAATGAAGCCTCTGTGGGAGGGGAAACCCCAAAGCCCTGTCCAGGGCAGACATAATTCACCCTAAAGACTCCTGGGCTTCATGCTCCCTGGGAGGTCAAAGCCAGTAAGCTAATGGCCTGTGTACCTATTAAACAGCATGTCCAGGCCTCCACCTTGTGTTTACAAAAAGAGCTCAGGGCAAGATTCACTGGCATGGAAAATGCTTTGCGCCCTGACCAGCGGTGGCCTGGCCACCCTCGGTTTCCTGGACCCCAGCCTAGTTCCCCACCTACCATCAGGGGTCTTCTGGGCTCCTGGGTTTAACTAGCTTTGCCACTGTTGCCCCTAAACCCAGTCTGATGCCGTTTCTATCCCTGCTGCTCTAGAATAAAGCTCAAGCCCGTTTACCCAATGCTCAGGCCCTTCTACCACCTGGCCCCTGTTTTCTCCAGCAGGAACCCTGCAAGGTTTATTCTACAAACATGCTTGGCTATTTCATGCCACTGTGCCTTTGTACCTGCTATGTCCCCTGCCCAGAACGCCAGCCCATACTGTTCCTCCGCTCACAGAAGATGCCAGCTCTGACATCACCTCCTCTAAGAGGCTGAAGTGCCTTCTGCCTATGACCCCGCCATCGGTGCATCGGTGAGTCTTCACAGCATGCCTCGGATGGCATGGTCAGTGCCCTATCTCCCTCTGGACTTTGAGCACCTCGAAAGCCAATATTCTACCCCAAATCCAGTGCCAGGCCAGAGCTGACCTTAGCAAGATTTATTAAACAACTAGAAGAGGCACATTTAAAAAGAGCTCTCTTTCACACTCGAAGGCCACCCTGGGCATTTCCACAACCACAACTCCTCCCCAGAATCCATAAATTCAAACAAACACTTGCGCCACGATAAGTTGGCCAGCGCAGAGGAGTGAGATGTAGCCCCAAAGAATCTGACTCTTGCTTCTGACCTTCTGCAGAAGTGAGTGATCAGCCTGTACCTGCCAGGGTGACCCTGGGCTTCCAAGGCCAGCCCTATTCCCGCCCAGACCCCCTCCAGCTGTGGCTAAGCTGCATTCTGGGCGCTCCTTGTAATTTATTTGTCAGCTCTTTCCTATATACAGGAATGTGTTCAATGACTCACTAGTGTCTTATCGTTTCGGGACCTTTGGAAAGACTTTCAGAGAAGTACAGCTCCCAAGTCCTCTGACAGGCTGACAGGCAAACAAGTTGGGGGTTAGAAAATACCATCACCAGCGCCCAAAGCCTCCTGTGGACTTGACACCTGTGTTGGAAGAGTGGCAGGGCTCCCCGAGAAGGCACACAGAAGGGAGAATGCGTAACGGGGGACAGAATCGAGGCGCCCGTGGGTCCCGCGCTCTCTCCCTCCAACCTTGAGGACTGGAGGATCTTTGTCCCTTGTTTTCCCCAGGTCTTGACCACAGTCCAAGTTCACCTCCTCAGCACATCAGTGACTAAAGCTCCATGGGGCCCAAGCTCAGTTGGCAGAGGAAAGACCTTGGAGGCCCACTCCTGCCACCGTCCGATCAAGGCAAAGTCCCCTGGGCAGCTCTCAGTTTGCCCATCTCTAAAATGGGTACTTCCCACTAAGGCCTCCCGACTCTGCAAAGCAGATGTGACCCGATCACTGCAGGACGAGAGGAGAGGAACGGGGCAGAGGAGGCCCACTGCGACTGCATTATGGGCCAGCACAAGGGTATCCCTGAAGGACAAAAGCTCAAGAGTGCACCTTGGCCCTGCCACATACCGGTGACCTGAGACCTCGTGACACCCTCTAATCAGCAGCTACGAAGCCGAGCCGGGCTTTACAGCTTACCGCAGGCTTATTCATCCTCATCTCCCTCAATCCCCTCAAGGGCGCAGCGAGGCCGGCACTGGCGTCCTTGCTGCCCAGACAGCCAAGCTGAGGTTCAAAGAGGCCAAGAGAATCACCCAAGGTCACCTACTGACTAAGGTAGAGTAACTGAGGCACAGTAACTGAACTGAGCTCTCTGGGGACATGCTTCTGCCTCTCAGTCCCCATTTACCCCATAACGAGTCTACTCCACCCATTTTACAGATGAGGAAACTGAGGCCCCCCAAAAAAGGTTGCGCAAGGTCAACTAGGGACTGAGCCAGCCCTAAGACCTCTAGCCATTCTGCCAATCCCATCTTGTGGTGGGTTCTCAGCCAGTGCCCTCCGGCATCCCTCTAATCCCCCCAACACCATCCTGATTACATTCCTTCCCCCACCCACCGCCACACCTTTTCATGCCCACCCCACACTCCCAGGATGACTCCCTGGTCGAGAGAGAGAGGCAGGCGGTTGCTAAGCACTCACCCGCTCTTTCTCACAAAAATAAACTCCTTCTGGCTGGGAGACTCGGGATGAGATCCCCTCCCTTCCAGCCAAGAAAAAATTAAAAAGAAATTTTAAAAAGATCTCCTCCATGACATTTATTTAAACGTCAGCAGTGCCAAAGCGTGGGCCAATTTACCGAAGTCCAAACGGAGCCAGCCACGCGCCACTAAACCTCAGCCCAAAGACCCTCCGTTCAAGTGTCTGGGCAGTTACGGAGCTGATTTATTTCTCCAGGCAGGAAATGGGGGCCTGGGCTGCCTCCCAAGGCTTTGGGGCTAGTCCTAGGGGACACCAGGATCTGGCAGGGGCCAGGCAGTGACCAAAATAGCCAGGCTGGTGGCCCTGCTCAGCACACACCTCCCTCTGAATGCCGGGGGCAGGGGGTGGCCCACAGGTCCCCCCTCCAGTTTAGGCTGAAGATTTGGGGCGGTCGCAGAAGGTCCCTGAGATTCTCTATCTGGCTTTCCTGGTGGGAGGGGGACGAGAGAACCTCTTGCTCAAAAGAGGAACCCTCAGAAGGAAGGAGAAAAGGCTAGAGGAGGATGTGTCCCGCTGTCCCTGCCTGCTGCCCATTTGGCCCCCAGCTGTCCCGTGGGGCCTCGTCCTGCCACTCAAGGCGGCTGGACATTGGCACTGCCACCTGCACGCCACACACGGGCAGCACCCTTGGAGCCATGCCCCCCTATCACCTCGCCCAACTCAGTGCCTGCCCTGGAGAATCAGCTCCGGCTGGCCGGCCCTCTAGGCACCAGGGACACTCCCTCAGGTACAGCCAGGACACACAAGTGCCTGCAACCAGGGGCCCGGAGACACAGCCACGCTCAGGGACACACACGTGCACAGCCAGGTACTCGGAGACACAGTCACATACAAACAGGTTCACGCCAGACACACGCCGGGACACACAAGTGCCCACATCCTGGGACACATTGACACAGCCACACGCAGGTATCACAGACACGCCAGAATACACAGACAAGCACAACCCAAGACACAGAAGAGCAGGCAAACACTGGGACACACGAGTGCATATTGCTGGAGAAATGAAGGAACAGCCACCCTCGGAAACACAGGCACATGGAGATACATGGAGACACCCGGTGAGACAGAGACACCGACACACACACACACACACACACACACACACACACACACCTGCCGCCGGCACGAAAAGCCCAAGCCCTTTCGCTGGGGAAACAATAACAGCCTCACCAGCGGGTCTGCGCGGGCGACCCTCCGTCCCTCCCTCGGTGGCGAGAGGGGCTTGGCGGGGAGGTCCGGGCTGGCGGGAGCGCAGGGATAGGGAGGGGGCTCCGCGCGCCCGGCTCCCTGTCCCTCGGGTACCTGGGGTGGCCGCGGCGCTGCGCTCGGCTGCACTCGGTTCCACTGGCCGGGGGTGCCCTCCTGCTCGGTCTCTGGCCCGCGGGCTCCGCGCTCCGCGCTCCTTCTCCGCGTGGCTTGGGTCTCTGGGCTCGCGGTCCTCGGGGCTCGGAGCTGGCGAGCGAGCGGGGCTGCGGCCAGGGCCCGGAGCTCGGCGCTGGCGGCGGCGCGGAGGAAGCGGTAATTTATAAGCGGCTTCTTCCTGACCTCGCGCGTCTGTTGTCTGAGCAGGCAGCTCTCAGCATCACCCATCCTGCTGGGTGGAAAAATACCAGCTTGGCCGGGCCGGGGGCGGGGCCGGGGCGGGGCCGGACGCCCAGCCCCGCCCCCCATGAGGACTCACACAGACACACACACGCGCACACACATACACTCGCACACACCACACACGCACGCGCGCACGGGCTCGGACAAAGAGCCCGGGCTCGCCGAGCGCGCGCGCACACACCCTCGTGCTGCGCGGCGAACACTCGACCCACTGCTTCCCGCATTAGAGAGCACTTTTCGAGGAAACCCTTTCCCTGCAAATGCTGGTGCCAAGTGGTACAGCCGGTCCTCAGCCTCCTCCTGCCTCCGGATGAAGAGCAAGGGAGCCCCCGGCCTCGATTCACCCCCTCCCCTAACACCACCCGCCAACCCCCACCACTCGCCCATCCACCTGGCTCATGGGAGGGGCCTGCGGCTCGGCTCCTTGAGTGGCCGGGTCCAAACTACTCCGACGCCTCCTTTCGCCGCCTCCCTTCCGGCGATCATGCAGGTTCTCGGAACCGCGGTTTGCTCCTCCGAAAAATGGGCACAGTAACCCTGCCCCCGCTGTCTCCCCGGAGGCACTAGGGTGGCCTGAGACTGATGTGAAGCGGTCAACAGCTCCCGGATTCTTGGCTTTGCTCCTGCTGGGTCACCTTGAGGGAGTTACTCAGGCTCTCTATGCCTCAGTTTCCTCATCTGTTAAGTGGAAATAAATGTAATAGAACCTATCTCCTCTGGCTGCTATGAAGAGCCAAGGTTAACAGTGTAAAAAGCTCAGAACAGCACTGGGCACTTAGGAAGTGCCAGGCGTCACTGCTGTGACTATTTTTAAATGAAAATGGGGAATGTGCCATTATTCTTGTCCTTATTTGCATGAGCGGCTCCTCTGAGACCATTTTTCACACTCATGCCCTGTGTGGGCATGAGGAGCAGTGCTGTGTGACCTCCAGCAACGCCTGCCCCTCTCTGAAAACTCTCCAGTTTCTCCTCTCACTCCCTCCTTCTCTGCACCTGGGAGGCTGTGTGGAGAACACGTGCCTCCTTCCACCTTTTAGACTGAGAATAAAAGAAATACATGCTCCACAGAGAGCCATCCCCCACGTCATACCTGACCCAGCCTGGATCCACAGCCTGGAGGGGCTTCTTAAGACCCTCTTTCTGAACAGCCCCAGAGGGAGGACCAGGGATCCTGAGGAGCAGGGTTGGAGAGATGACACTTATTCTCTGCCTGGTTTCCTCATTGAGGACCCCTGCTATCTGCCTCCATCTTGACCTTCTAGCAGGCTGCAGCTGAGCCAGACTGGGCCCTCTCAGCACATGCCCTCCCCTGCCTTCCTCCAGGGCCTCCTCCTGCCCTTCTCTGCAGTCCTCAGCTGCCCCTTCCTCCAGGAAGCACCCAGCCACCCCAGGTGGCATCCACTTCCAGGCTCGTCAGCTCGGTCCTTCAAGTTCATGGTGACTGCACCCCTTTTATAGGTGAGGAAAGCAAAGCTGGAGAGGAGAAGCAACTGAGTCCTCACATCTCTCCCTTCCTTCCCAATGCGAGTGAGGCTCTTCCATGAGCTGGAGGAGCAGATGGCAAACAAAAACTCCCCGGCCTCCCCGCGTGGGTCACCACACACAGTGCAAAGTGGCAGGTCATAATGCGGTTAAGTGACTCTGAAGAGGCGGCTTTGCCTAAGCCAAGGGGTTGAGGGGAAGGGAGGGAGAAGCAGAGAGAGCTGTTGTGCAAAAGCTTGTTGGCAAGAGTGGTTGGGCCCTAAGCAAAGGTGATATGGGCCAGCTTTGGGGTCACAGAGAGTGAGCAGCGGAGTTCGTGGGAGGCGTGAGGGGGAGTGGCCACATCCAGGGCTGTGATTTTGGAAAGGCCCATTGGATCGTGCGAACTCCAGGCAGGTCAGCATAGTGCAGACTGTGCCGGCATGGGGCCCACAGATGGGGCTCGTCCAACCCTGTGTCTTCCTCCTCTAGAGTGTAAGTTCCATGAGGGGTGGGCTCTTGTCCTTGGTGCCCCCGTTGAGCCCTGGGGTTCATCAGAGGGCCCGGCACATAGTAGACACTCAATAAATGTTTGTCGCACTTACTCTATTTAGCAGACCCTTAGATAGAGAGCACTTGGCTGCATGCCAGGCAGGGCCCAAGGCCCTTGTGTATTTCAACTCACTGACTCCTCCCAACAACCCAAGGAGGTTCCTACTATTAATCTCCCCCACTTACAGAAAGGAAAACTGAGCCACAGAGAAATTAAATAACTTGTCCAAAGTCCTTCAGCGGGTGAGTAGTAGAGCTGGAGTTAAAACCCAAGCCAAGAAGGAGAAGAAGCAGGGAAAAGGGGAAGGAGGAGAGGAAGGAGAAGAGAAGCCAGAAAGAGCTCCAGCCTCAACCCCAAGGAAAGCTGGCCCGAGAGGTGGAGAAGGGCTGGGGGACAGGGGACCTGGGCCAGGATAGGGTGGACTGGAGAGAGCTGCCCGTGGAGGCCACAGACCCCCAGTCTGCATTTCCCCCTCTGCTGCTGCCTGCGTGCCCACTCTCTGGGGGTCAGCTTCCTCATCCCTGATACGTGACCGTGAGTCCTGCCTCACTGAGCCATTGTGAGGAAAGGTCTCAAACTGGAGGGCCCTGCACTGAACTCAGATGTGCTTTTTTTGGCTTTAAAATATTTTTTAAACATTTCAGTGGCCATGAAGAAAAACTTGGAAGATTTCACATTGTACAGATCTGAAGGTCTGGTTGAGAGATTCACATTTAGATAATGGTAAGATGGAGCCACCTTGGGCCCATTATCTACCTGTCCGCCATCCCTTGGAGCTGAGTGACATCAGCCAGCCCCTCACATGGGGATGTGAGATACCACCCCCCCCCCCAGGGTGCCAGAGTCCCCACCTGGCTCGTTCCTTCATTCACGTCACCCACTCGGCCCTGCAGGGAGCAGACTCTGAGACCCGGCATGTACTTTGTGTGCTGGCCCTGCCCCTTGCTCCTGGCACCTCCAGGAAGAGACTATGAGCACCAAGGAACCAAAAGCGCTGGCAGCGAGGAGGGAACTTCAAGGAAACCCGGGCAGAGGTTTCCTTCAGAAGCCACATACTAGACTGAAATCCCGTTGGGACTAACTCCTGCCATTTCGAGAATGAAAATCAATGGCTGGATGGAGGGCATGTGAGGAAAGGCAGCCAAGTTTCAGGCTGCAGTCCGCCATCCTTAACTTAAAGGCAGTGAATGTGATTTTGAGAAAGTTCCTGATAATGCTGTTTTCAGCCACTGTCAATAATAAAATAAAATCGATCCAGGACTTTGGACAAAACCTTTAGTCCCTTGCCAAAGAATCGTTTGTCTCATCTATCAGGCAACCAACAAGAATTGTCGAGATGCTTGCTGGCTGGCGGTCTGGCTATGCTGGGCCATCTGGCCAGCCCAGGGCAGCCCCTCCCTGCCCAGCCCTGCCGAGGGTTATCTGCTCAGCCTCTCAGAACGTCATTCCCTAGAGAGACAAAGGTACCGTGATGGGACTGTCGAGTGGTCCCCATCCTGGGCACCTTCGCCTAGGCACACCCCATGTGTCCACGCTGCTGAATGTGTACGGATGGACCCCTGTACAATGGAGGCTTTATCAGAGCATCTGAACCTTCAGGAATCTGCCTCCCATCTTCCCATCCTCCTCTTGCCTGTTTGCACCTCCCAGTTTCATCTGTCATGGGCTGTGTGACATAGAATCATGGGAAGTCACTCTGTGCCTCAGTTTCCCAATTTGTTAAGCTAGGCTAACCATCGTCTCTATGTCCTAGGGGGTTGTGGGAATGAAGTGGGGGAGATTCATACAAAGCCCTGAGCCTGGTGCTAGGCACACAGTCTAACGCTGGGGTAACCAGAATGCTCACTGACCTTCCTCCATGTGTGTGCTCTGAGCATTCCCACCTTCCAGCCTTCCTCCATGCTGTTCCCTTCCCCAAAGCACATTGCCCTCCTGCAACCCGGGCCTCAGCCACACTTGGAGCCCCAGACTGGGAGCACCCATAAGCCAGGTATCCCCAGCAGCACCTAGCAAGGGGCCTAGAGCGCAGAAGATCCCAGGAAATGCTTGCCCGATGTGGCCTGTAGGTGGCAAGCCTCCAAGGACTCACTTCCTCCTCTCCCTTGACAGGAAGGGCAAATCTGTCCCCAGGGCTGAGGGACGTGTCGGGGCAGGGCACAGACATTCAGGGTAGGGGTCCCATGTGCGTGTTTATTCAGTCACCGATGCAACGCTGCAGCCCTGCCTCAGGCCGAGCTCCTGCGGTCTCCCTTCTGGTGACTGCAAGGGCCTCCTTCCTGGCTTCCTGGCTTCCTCTCCTACCCACGGGCCCGTCTCCACGCAGCAGCGGGAGGGAGCCTGGGTCCCTCCTCCACGGCTGGTGGGGGAATGGAACGGCCCCGCCACCACCGTGGAACACAGCTCAGCAATTTCTTATAAGGTTAAACGTCCGCTTCGCCTATAGCCGACAATTCTAGGCCTAAGCATCGACCGAAGAGAAATGAAACCAAGCGGCCACACAAAGACTCGGCTAAGAATGTGAATGACAGCACTATTCGTAATAGCCGAAAAACGGAAACAGTCCTGGTTGCGTAACACCCACAGGAGAACGGAAAAACAGACACACAGATGAAGGACTCCTGAGATGTGTAAAACCATAGAGAGATCTCCAAAACACCAGGCCTGGTGAGGGAACACCACAGACCACGCGGACGGCTCAATCAGGCCAAGTGTGTCTCTGGTCTTGGGCACGGGAGCCCGGGTTGGCTCTGGGGGTGGGGGAGGGACTGGCCAGAAGGACCCCAGAGACCCTCCTGAGGGCTGAGAAGGGGCTTTATCCTGAGCATCGTGTCCTTTAGCTAGGTGCATTCCACCCAATGCAGTGTATTCCTCAGTAAAAAATCAGAAGATCCTCAGACTCACTCCCTTCTTCCTGCTTTGAACCACTCCACAACCCCCACCACACTGACACTCACTAAGCCCACACCCCTCAC